GACACCTAATAAACACAACGCAAACAGCTGTGACAAAGATGAAACAGCAGAAATGACAAAAAGACAAAAAGAGCAAAATCAATGTGCACAAACAAAAACAATTGTACAACAACAATATATTATATGAAACAAAATACTCGGCACATGCAATTAAGAATATCAAGTTAAATTAATCAAATTTACGGGAAATTTTGATGTTTTACTTATCTTTAAATTGTGCACCAGAAGTTTATTAACACTTTTTTTAATTTTTTACTTTAATAAGCGTAAACAGCTTTATCAAACACAAAATTTAAACAGATCACAGAAAAACACAGCTTCACAGCTTAATTAAATTATGTTCACCAGAAAGGTATAAAATATAGGTTACCTTTTTCTTTATTGGGGTCTACTTTGTACTGGATGGGATACGAGAAAATTCTTCAATATATCTCTTAATTTGAAGGCATTTTGTGATGCATTGTTCGAGCCTACCCTCCGAGCCTTTTGTAAAGGCGTTGAAACATCACTCCGCCACAATCCTTTTTTAAAACCGTCGCCTTCCTCCTGGTCGAGATACTCCGCTGGACAATAGCTACCATCGTGCATTTTAACGAAGTTGTGGAGGACAACGGTAGCTTTAACAATTTTTTCAGCAGATGCAGGGCTCATTTGCAAAGGACTTAAAAGTATTCTCCAACGGTAAGATAAAATTCCAAAGGCATTTTCAATTACGCGCCGTGCTCTGGACAACCGCTTGTTAAAAACTTGTCTGTCCAGAGGCAAGTTGGCTCCTTAATAAAATAAGTATGCATTTATTGAGGAAATCACTTTGTATAAATTATGTATACATACAAACCTGGATATGGTCTCATTAAAAATGACTTCAATGGAAACGCGTTATCACCAACAAAGTAGTGCGGGAAACTTATATCAGTGTCTGGTAATATACCGTTTTCAGGCAGATCCAGTTTTCCATTGTATACGAGTTTTCCAAAGCCTGAATTCCACAAAATGCCGCCATCAATCACTCTGCGAACCGTAAGCCCCGATATCTATACCAGTAAAAGTGTAATTGGCATCGCACACCGCCAGCAGAACAATAGAATACGTCGTAATTGTAAAAAAGGGAGCCCGGGTTTGATGGGCAAAATATATTGATGCGTTTACCATCAATCGCACCAATAGAATTAGGTAAATCCCACATTAAATAAAAGTCCGTGGCAATACGCTTCCATTCATCTTTCAGTGGAACTGACAAATAAACAGGACCAAGTATCTCCCACAAGACATCGCACGTTTCCCCAAAGATTTCTTTCATGGTGGAGAGCCCTATTTTAAAGGCGCAGGAATAAAATGGCTTACTCCCTCCGTGAGCCAAGTTGCTAAAATTGAAATTTATTTAATTATCATTTAATACCTGTAATGCTACTGCGCATCCACCTACGGAGGCAGCCTCCCAACCTAACTATAATGCAAGCAATGTGCCTGAGGATTAAGTATAAACGAAACTCTGGGGGAATAGATGGTCGGTTAGAATTTTTGCTTATTCGCTCTCTTATTAAACTAAGGAGCAAGTCGAATACAGGCTTTTCCATTCGAACTGCTTGCTTGAATTCCTCAGTGAATCCAAAATGCGTGCTAAAAAATCCATGGGTGTCACGATTTTGCAGAGCAGGTCGCACCCAACAACTACGAACTCCATAAATCCTCTTAAATCACTCTCTGGCTTCCAGCAACATCAATATAATCAGTATGACTTCTATAGTTTCCATTTTTATCAGTTTTTTTTGATTTTAAACTATCACAACACAAAATTTTTGTTTTCAACACAGCGAGACATTTGCCGCCAACAAACTACAGCTGATTTTTGTTTATATACATTAACGCTTACATTGCGGCGCCGCTCTACGTTCATTCACGTCACGTCAGTTTCATCCTTGAGCGTCACGTACGCAAAGTACTCATTCTGACGGGGCTATTAGTCCAAGAATTTTTTGCTGGTAAATTCTGGTAAATGTGTCAAACGATCAGCTGTGGTGTGTTTGGCAACCATATTGTAAACAAAAGAAAAGTGCACTCTGCTAATTCATGTTGAAAAGTATTTAATTACTTGTTTAAGTGGACTCTAATGAATTTGAAAGTAATTTATTTACATGTGTGAGCTGAGTGTGTTTACATAAAAAATAAGCAAAAGTTTACAACCAAAATTTGTAGGTTATGTTGAAGTTGACAGAAGCTACGATTTTTACTAGAAAGCGATCCCGTACTTTTCAATGTTAGTCTCTCGCTCTGAGCGAATTTTTATTTTTTGACAGTTTTACTAGTTTTAGTCCGAGGAATACGGGATTGCACCTTATAATAACGAGGTTTTAGTTTTTTAAACTATGACTTTTTACTTTAGTTAATACTTCGATATCAGTAAAACCCGCTTAAGTACTTCACGAAAAATGTCAGCTTTTTGAGGTACTTAGACGGGTTGGGTACTTAAAAGAACCCGCTTAAGTACCTCGATGCGGGTACTTAAAAGAACATAATTATTGATGTTGGTAATCTTTTTGTTAACTTACATATAACTTGAATAAAACATGAAAATTTAATGAAGTGTACGTAGTTTAAAACCAAGATCGTAGCATTATCTAAACACATAAACAAAAACTGTATAAAAAATCGATACAGCAATATTATGTAATTTTTACAAGACTTCCATTCTTTAAAGTCATTGATTATACATATTTATACATACATACAGTGTTGGAAATATCTATCATTTCGGACCAAATTCAAAATGATGTTGTTTGTCACTTATGCTTATATATTAATTTTTAAGGCTTTTCACTTAAAACATATAAACCTAAGCTTAAAATATTTTTAGAACACTGAAAAAGTGTAATATTGTGCAAGTTTCAAGTGGCTAAAAATTACCGTTGATTTTTTACCTCCCTTTTATTAGCTCGGGATGTAACTATGTAATATTGATGCGCCTAAAATATGCAGCGATTTCTATTCTCAAGTTACATACCTGATGACAGTACGAATGGAAATTATAAAAAAGGGGTTTTATTTTTTTAAACTATAATTTTATTATTTTAATCAATACTTCGATATCAGAAAACCCGATTAAGTACCTCACGAAAAATGTCAGCTTTTTGAGGTACTTAGACGGGTTGGGTACTTAAAAGAACCCGCTTAAGTACCTCGATGCGGGTACTTAAGAGAACATAATTATTGATGTTTTTAATCTTCTTATAAATTTACATAAATAAGTTCTTAAATAAAACATGAACATTTAAAGAAGTGTACGTAGTTTAAAACCAAGATCGTAGCATTATGTAAACACATAAACGAAAACTTTATAAAAAAGTCGATAAAGCAATGTTATGTAATTTTTACAAGAATTCAATTCTTTAAAGCAGGCCTTCCCAAAGTGGGTGACGCGGCACCCCAGGGGAGCGTATGCCTGGGGTGCCGCTAGTGGCTAGAGTATAATAGTGGTGCGGACAAATACACAACCAGTGTTGCCGCGCCCGAAAACAACCTACCAATCAATCTTGATTGTTTGGTATAAACACAGGGTTGCATATCCCATATTTAAATAGCAAAATTGGCCATTTAAGTGCAGACTAAATGTATGATCTGAAAATGAATAGTGGAAATTAATCAACAATCTCTACTTAAGTAGGTCATCTGAGATCTGGCCTAACAGTTGCTAAATTTGAAAACTATTACACATTCTTTCAGGCTTTCAACACATACTCCTATAACAGTTATGTGCCCTTTCGCTAGTTTTTTGTATGCATGTAAAAACGAGTTTGGCATCATGTTATTCATAATGTGCGTGTTGATCTTGTCACGCAAATGAAGGCACCTAAAGCTCTAAGTCGCCTCCGATCGGAAAATGGTTTTTATGAGAAGCGATTTCATGGCAGAAGTACACTCGGAGGTTTGAAAATGCGACGACCGCAGATCGGGAATTGCGTAGAGTAGGGATGCCCAAATCAGCACATATGTGTCGCGGGCGACTGCGCGTGCAAAGCTTTGCACAGCGGTGCTGGGCAAGCGCGGAAGCAAAAAGTTATCGGAAGGGGAAAACGAAGTCAACAGAATAGTGAGATTGTATGTGTGACAGTGATGGAAAATGAGTGTGCATTGTGCCATTTTCGGCCCTTTCGGAAGCAGCCGGCACCTTCAGCACAATCGATTGATTTTCGGCACTATTTTTGCGTAACTCAATGCAACTAATAAATAATTCTTTCGGATCCGCAATTAAAAATATTTTTTTTTACATTTAATCGTATGTGCTTAAACTGATAAATGATATAAACATAGAAACGCAAGCAGAAGAATCTCGCTTCCACATTCTGCATATGCGCTTAACATTTTTGCTTAAATAAATTTGTCGAAATTTCATCTCTAATGCAAATATTAAATATCATTTAATATATAATTTAGATTTAAATAATCATTTTTAGTGGTGGGCGAGTCCGAGATGTTTAAATGACCGAGAGAGTACTCTCAATGCTCGTAGATTTTTGAGAACTTTTTTCGTTGAAGGTCTTGCACTTTTTTTCCATACTGAAATTTGTGTACATCATTTATCATTGTCTAAGAAAAACTATAAAATAAAGCTTAATTTAAAATATTGGAATAGAAAACCACAACGCTACACGCGCATTCATCCATATAACATAAAATGCGAACGTTCGTTATATGGAAGAAAGTGCGCAACACCGCAAACAGAAACATTCAAAAAATCAATCAATTTTCTAGACACTTCAAATTTGCACGTTATTATACTAGAATGAATGGGCTACAAAAATGTTAACCCAAAACATGTCTACAAATTCTGAACAAAGACTGTGAAAATTTGATGAAACTTTGTTGATTTTTTCATTCTTTCAAGTTTCGATTTATTTGCAAGGTTTTTGTTTGTTATTGAGCTACAATTTTATAAAAAAAAATTATTAAAATTATTTAAAAAAATAAAATAAATACCGGGTGACCGTGTAATTTTGTCAAAGATGAAGACAATGATGATAAAACATTAATACACTATATAGGTCAGTTCATATTAATGAACATAAATTAGATCACTATCGATAAAATGGAAATCCTCAAAAGAAATTTTTAATTTCAACGCATGGAATTTACATACATTTTTTTACTTTCAACCCCCGAATTGCTCAATTACTTCTATTTCTGCAGTATCGCCAATAGGTAAATTGCATTTCCAAAGATTTTTTCAAAATAAATAGCGATGAGGGATATTTCACCCGCCGGTGATAAGAAATCGCAATCACCATAACGCACATCACTAATATTACTGTTCACAATCACGTTTACATTATAATTTCGTTTTGTAGCAAATATGAAATATAGGTATATCCATTTACTTAAATGTAAACGGATTAAGAATCAAAGTGCTACAAGAGATTTGAGCGTTTGGTACAAAAAGTATTTTTGATGTTGAAATTGTACTTAAATTGAAATTGTACTTTTAAAATTAATTGTAGTGAAAAAAGTACAATTGTACTAAAATATCAACACTCTTTCACTGGCGCTGTAGTTGCTGCAGCGATGCCAGATTTGAGCGTACCCAATTTTTTACCGATAATAACTCATGCGAGGGATTTGGGTATTGGGCATTTTACAAGACTATTGGGAAGTATACATATCTGTGTTCGTATAGAATAGTAGCTTATGTCGGAAGACTGGCTTTGGTATAATAAACCATTCGCAGCATACGATNATATGTATGTATGTATACACTATACACTAATATTCTACATTAAGATGGAATTCATTTACTGAATAAAATGTGAGGAATAGGTAAATTAAATATGTTTTGCGTTGTTAGAAATGTATTGAAATTAATTTGTTATTAAAAACGTGAGGAAATGGATATGTATATACACTCTTTACTGAATCAAAAAAATTATTAAACATGATAA